TCTGCTAGGACTCCCTACTGGACAGTTGCTGTTTTTTCCTTTTTCATACTCTATTCTTTGGAAATATGGCATTAAGTTCTCTGGGGATTTTTAAGCCAAAACAAATGGGATAGATTCAGTCTTTATTTAATGGGAGGATCCTTGAACTATGCAGGTTGTAGAGGAAATTTGTGTACAAGGTGGGAAAATGCTGCTGACACAAGAGAGAGGTGTTAATGAGAAGCAGATAGAATCATGACAGCACATCTGCGATCTGAGGCTCAGAGAAGCCCCCTGCTTTCTGGAGGTTAAATTTTGCATCACTATTGTGCCAGAAAAATCTCCCTTTTCACCTAAACCTGCTTGGGTAGGATTTCTATCTGTACAGCCAAAAGGCTCTAGTAACATACTGTATCATTGGATTTCCATGCAAATTAAATGATAAACAGTATGCAGATTGAATGCCTACTGCAGAATAAGACATATAGAGATACTGATAAATCTTGGATGTTATTGTTACTATTGTTATTAATTGATGCACAGTAGTATTTTGAATGCAATTTATTCAAATGTATTGTGAAATAAACTAATAGTCATGAATCATTTCCTGATAATACTTGAGAATCCGAGATCATACATAAGAAACATTGGTTATTGTAGCATTAGACTCAATGAGAAGTAAAAAGAGTTGCAGCTGTATTAAGACCTTGCTCCTTGCTCAATAACTAAGTCATGTTGTGCTGGATTTAGAGGCAAGAAAAAAGCAGGCTGATATTTTAAGTACATAATTATCCATATTCTTCTTTCCTGAGGAAAGGGCCATCAGAACTAAGTCTTTTAGTCAAAGAGCATTTTTGATTCACAAATACTATGAGCATTTTTCATGTTCCATGACTATTGCCTTAGACAAAGTTAGCCTTGAGATACAGAGAGGGGGAAATGAACATTTATATCTTTAGTATATATCATTAGTTGATCTGTTATGACATTTATCTATAGTCAGGAAATGAAAGAATAATTTAGGCATTAATGTCTTTTAATTACTCCCATTTAATTCTCCATATTAAAAATTATGTTTCTTAACAATGGGAAAATAGCTAACACAAAGACAAGCTTTTAACAGCTCTTCAAAGAAGTCATCTTGATATTTCTTTTTCTCTTAACTCAATTATGAATTAGTTTAAATTCCTAATTTAGTTCTGATTTTCTAAAAGTAAATTTAGTATGGAAGCTCAGTGGAGAGGTAGCCTGGTGCCTAAGTGCCTAAAATGGGCTGCTGTATGTAAAAGAAGCAGAATAGGCTCAGGGATCAGTGCCAATACCTGGAAAAGTAGGGATGCTTGGCAATGTGGCATGAATCAACTCAAGAATTTCCAAGTTAGAAAAGTTTGAGTAGAAAAAGCAAAGAACGGAAAGGATAAAATAAAGGAGCTATACAGGGCTCTTCCCAGACAAAGTGGTGAAATGGGTAAGGTCTATACCCCATGTCATCCTGCCTCCAGCATCAGCTCCCTCCCTGTTTTCTCCACTCCCTGAAACCTGGAGACTTAAAGCCAGCCCCATGAGTCCTCATTTCAGATCTAAATACTCACCTTCCCCTTATATCCACTAATGCTTCAATATTAATGGACACTGAGGATAAAAAATTACAAACATATATAAATTTGCCATATCCCAATCCTTCATGAATTTGTGGCTCAGTGGGGAAGGAAAGCAAGTGTCTAGGTAATTAAAACAAATGGGAGAGCAGTGCGAGAGAACAAAGCACAGCAGAGGCAAAATAAAGAACTAGGAAGAGAGGAAGATAACCAGGGGTGTGGAGTAAGGTGTGGTGTCAAAAGTGCCCAGTTAGGATTTCCTAGAATACCATGTGCAAAAGTCAGTGAGAAAGAAGATCATAGAAAAGATCTTGGATTTGATGATTTTTATATATAACTATAAGTACAGTTTAAATGAAGTGATTCATGGCTTATTTTAATTTATTCAGAAACAAATATTAAAAGAGGTGATAAGTAAAGAGAAAACGAGTGATAATTATTTATTTAAATAATTCTTGTACTGATTCATATGAAAGACATGATACATTTACTGTAAGAGGAGCAGCTTCTCCCCCATATATGTTCAGGAGTAGAGGCAAAAGAGAAAAAGCCCATTTTTTGTTATCAAATGGTTTGTATAATGACCAGGTATGTCAAGTCAAAAAAGAAAGAATGGGCTTTAAGAATATGGAAAAGATCCTTTTCCCATAGAGACAGATTGTGAACTGGAAGCCATAGGTGACTGGAGGCTTATTAGAAGACTTTAATAAGTGGCACCATCTTGTAGTAACCAGGGCCCTGAAATAAAGATGAAAAGGCAACAAGGAGGGGACTAACTGCTGCCCATACACAGGCAAATAAAGGCATCTGAGCCTAAAACATAGGAAAAATAATTTCAAAGCATTATTATTATTTCTACTCATTTGGGAATAATAACTCAAACCAACTGATATCCAGGGGCTTACTGTCCTTTGTTGTCTATGGGGAGACATGGCTGTGGTGGAAATCTGTTATTTGCCATCTTGCAAGCATCCCCTATCCTTTTTTCCACTGGCTGGATACTTTCTCTCCATTTGAGAAGTTTCTTCCCGCAGAGGATGCACAAGGTTATGCGTGTAACCCAGGACAGCCAACTAGAGTCCTTTTTTAAAGATTGAGCTGCTCATCAGAGGACGAGATTTGCTTTGTGAGATTGAAAACTTTCTTATCTGTGTAAGGCTGGAACTGCACTGTGGATACAGTCTGACGGAGAATGAAGCCAAAATGAAAGGAGTGCTGAGAGTAAGTGAGAAACATATTCTTGCTGATCTTGTTAAGCCATGGATCAGTCCTGCCAGGTTCTTATACCTCTGAGTTATATAACCCAATGCATTTTCTTTAGTTAGAGCTGAGTTTCTGTCACTTGCTATTAAAAGTCCTGAATGTAATGTAAAAAAATGTAAAAAGTCTTCAACCACGTATTTAGGTAGAATATCAAACATTTTCATTTTGAAATCAAAATCTTCCTTTTCTTGGTTATGCTTGGTGTGCAGACTGAAACATGAAGATGTTCAGATAATTCATAAGTATTCTAAGATTAATTACTGAGAAGGGAAGAAGGGAAACAACTAGCATGAAGATAAAGCATATTTTTCATTTTCTTTCACTGCCTGAAAAAACGAAGGGGCGAGTTGTGTTAATACCCTAAGGAAATTCCATTTTGATCTTCCCAACAAATAACTCATGGGCAACTAGGAAAATGAGGTTGTCATAACAAAGTGGCTCTAGCCCTAGAGATGACATCTATTGGAAGCTCATTGTTCAGGAAGAAGGATTAAAGGAGCTGGAGACTAGCAAGTGAAAGATCAAATGTGAATTGATCATCTATTTGGGGCTGGTTATGGCATGAAATGGTAAGGGTGGAGGGAAGGAGGCAACTTAGGAGGGAGGACAACTCCACCCAAGTACACTACAGTTCTGTGAAAAAGCACATCTTCATCACTAGGTAAGGTTAGCAAAACCTCACTAATTTGTAGTAAAGGCAAAAGAGAGGAACCTGAGCAAGGAAGTTGAACTTTGAGATTTTTATAATACATTCCAGGTGAATCTATTGTTTTTAGAAGATTCTCAGTAAATTCTCTCTGAAGGAATAAAATTGAAACACACCACTTTCAACAGAATATACAGAATCTAAGCTGTGAATGCCCAGAAATTAGGGGAAAAATAATGCAGAAAAAATCTGGTAGTTGCATTTTTCAATTATTAGCACTCCACAGAGAATAATTGCTAAATTTTTTCAGTCCTCATTCCAGGTAAAGCTATTGATACAGGGGAATAGGTGATAGAGAAATCATGGAGTTTCTAGTATGGACGACTCTGGATTCAACACTGTATTATTAGTCCAGGCAAGAGATGAGTAAACAGGAATAATGATGATTATCCTATGGGGCAGCTGCGAGGGGTGAATAAAAAAGGAGAGAATTTGACCCAGGAAACATTTGTGACTCTTATATCAAGGGAGAAAAAGTTTTCAAAAGCAGATTATCAGGAATTAAGGTAAACTTGCAGGTGCGGCGGTTCTGACAGAACATGAAGATGCAAGTGCTGGAAGCTCAGGAGGCGTGGGACACATCCCAGCCCGAACTTGGCAACAGGACGGAAACCTCTATTCGCCGGGTTACCAAACGGCCAGGTTCCAGTTCAGGCGTCAGAATGGGCTCATAAGCAGTCTGTGCCCTTTTCTTTACGCAAATTTAAACCAGGTTAGAGGAGTGAGGACGGAGGCAGAACGTGGGGGAAGGAAACGACAGCTCAGGGTACAAGAACAACAAAATCACCAAGGTCAGGATGGGTGTCGGCGACACATGCAGAATCCTGCAGAATGAGGAGTGAAAAGAATTCTACATTTTAGAACCTTGTTTCAGAGTCCCTTTCTGCCAGTTGCACAGCGCCCTTTGCCCCGCCCCCCCTGAGCTGCTGAACGTCTCCCTTCCCTTTTTCCTTCCAACAAATCCCAGCATACGAAAAACTTTAATTTGTCTCTATAAGTCTTAGCCAATTTTGTTGCGGCGGAGCTTTTTCATCGCTTTAACCCAACTTTCCCCCGTCCCTTTGGCGAGAACCTGGAATTAGAGCTGCCCGGCAGGCGGGAGCCCGAAATCCGGGCAGCCTCGGGCTGGGTTCCGGAGAAGCCCCCGGGAGGCTGCGAGGGAGGCGCCGCTCCCCAGCGCGCGGGCTCAGAGTGCGGGCAGGGCCCCGCCGCGGCCGCGAGCGCCTCGCCGGCGACCCGAGCTGCCGGCGGCGGGGACGCGCGCGGCGGGAGGCTTGGGGCGGCGTGCGCGGGAGCCGCGGCTTCCGCAGGAGCTATTTTTAGCGGCGCGGCGCCCCCCGCCTTCCCCGGCATCCAGCGTCGTAGCCTCCGGCTGGCGGGGCCGCGCCGCGGCTCTCTCCTGACTCCCCCGCCGCTGCTCGCTCTTGGTAGCGTCCACGCGGGCTGGTCCGGAAACTGAGCATGTCTGGAAGCGCTCGGCGGCCGCGGCGGCGGCGGGGGCAGAGCCAGGCTGCGTCAGGCTGAGCCCATTCACCGCGCGGCCGCAGGAGCGCAGCACCCGCGCCGCCCAGCCCCGCCGAGAGGGGCGCCCTCGCCGCCGCGGGCCCTGCCGCCGCTCACCGCAGCCCTCTTCTGGCGACCCGCAAGTAAGTTTGCGAGGCGGTTGGGCGGTGGGGCGAGGGCTTGGCACCCCGGGGAACCCAGGCTTTGGGGCGGGGGGCGCGGCTGGCGTCCCTGAGACCTGGCCGGCCGCTGCCCCTACACCCGGTCCCTCGGCGAACCTCTTGGCCAATTTGAAAGGAGGTGGCCGCTGGGATGCTCCAGCGGGGAGACTGGCAAAGCTGTGGGGCTGAACTGACTCTGGCGGCGTCCAAGGTGGCCAACTTGCGGAGAGGGAGGGACCGCGCGATGACAGAGGGGACCCGGCAGGCCGGGAACCGGCTAGTGAGGGACGGATAGGCTGCGCTTGGGATGCGGGAGCCCGGCCGAGGACAGCCGCAGAGGGAAAGCTAGGTGTCCCCGGGCGTAGGGTGGAAGCCACGTCAGGGAGCAGCGTGGGTGCATGGTAGAGTGTGAGCGTGTCCTGGCCAGAGCGACGGGAGGGAAGGTGGATGGGAACTGGGGCGTGTGGAAAGCGGATTTCAGCGACAGCGAAGGACGCCGATGGAAGGGCAGTGGGCGCCTGAGAACGAGTGGACTAGGATAATTTGGGGGGAATCAGTACCAGGTCAGGGCGATATAATGATGGAGAGAGGCAGCCTTGATTCAAGGTCTTCGGAGGGAGTATGCGAGGCCACATGTTGGGACCAGGCTGGACAGAGGATGGGTGCAGAAAGTGGCCTGGAAGGGCCAGCTAGAAAATCGCTGAGGGATTTGGATTGAAGGGGAGGAGGGGAGCGGTGCAGAGATACGGTTGAGGAACCGGGCTGCTGATGGGGCCCAAAGGCTGGGAAGGGTTGGAGGCTACCTGCGGCCTCCCGATGGTGACTTAGTAGCGGTTCGCTGAGGTACACTTGCACCCCAGGAGGCTCCTCCTCCGTCTACCTGGTTGGGTCGTAGGGCGGCTTGCTCTAGGCGAGTTTGCAGGACATTTGGACAGATTAGGCACCCGGAAGGTAGTTATTTACAGGGGAGCGGCAGGGGCTTCCATTAAGTGGCTCCCGGCACCCGCGAGCGAGGTGAAATTTAGTGTCTGAATGTGTGTGTTGCAGGGGGTCGGGCCGGGGGTATGGTGTGTCTGTTCTGGGCCGCGGGAATCCGTGGTCTCCCCTTTTAAGTGCGGGGTTTTGAGCAGGGAAGTCAGGCAGAAGTCTGCAGCGTGCAACTCGCGGCGGGGCGTGCGCGCGCGTGTGTGCGTGTTACCGGTCGGGGGTCTCCTGTGTTGCTGCAGTCTGTCTCGGCGACGAGGATGGCCAGGGGCACCATCCAACACCGGGAAGGAATTCAGGCAAAGTGCTTTTCTCCGCCTTTTCTACCTCCTTTCCCCAGGGTCACATTATTTGCTCTTTCAATAATTCTTCCTTCGAACCTCTCCCCGGCTCCTGCACATCCCAAACTGACGCTAGTCTTGTCTTCTGATACGGTACCAGAGGAGGCGGCTGTCCTTCCTCTACCTGAGGGAATCCTAGGAGTCCCGGGGTCAGCGGGGCTCACGAATGCACGGGTCCTTCGCTGGGCATCGCTCCGGGGTCCTCAGTTCACTCTGCAGCGCCTGCAGGTGACGCGGTGATATTGCCCCGCGGACTCCGGTAGCGCGTTGGCTCCAAGTGGCCAGTGGGGTCGAGAAGCCCGGCCAAGTGACCAGCACTTACTGGTTCTTGAGGTGGGGGTGAGGGGGTCTTCCCCGAGTTCTCCCTATGTAAATACAACTTAAGTCGTAAAAGACCAGGTAAGTGGAATAAACAAGCATCTAGTGCAAAAAGCTCTATGCAAAAACGCCTTTTTGACTAGGAAAGATTCCACCCACTAACCTCAGGAAGGGAAGAAGCTTCTACCGCGTAAGAGGATGGGAAACGGGCAGCGGCGGTGTGGGTGAGGGGGAATTGTCACCACGTCCCAGGCTTCTCAGATCTCATCCGGCTTGCTATATTTTGTTCTCTGTGCCATATTTTGAGACTTTACCAGATACAGGAAAGGGGGATGAAAGTGGTTGGAAACCTGTGTCATCTGTGGAAAGATTCAGAGAAGGAGGAGCGAGAGCTATGCCTACTGTCTGCCGACGTCTAAGAGGGCTGGGCTTATGAGGTGTGTGTAACCATAAGAAATGCTTAAGACGTCCAAACTGCATGGGGGAGACTTAGATGAAGGGACATGAGAGCTGTAAAAAAGTGATGGGGGCCATGGCATGGGTTGTCTTGCCGAGGGATCAGTGACCCAGGGAGGGACACAACAGTAAGGACAGCAAGCTTGTAATGGCCAGGGCATGTGCCATGGCTGGCCCAGTTTCTAGTACAGTAACTATTGAAATGTACCATTTGAAATATGTCCATGAGTCTTGGTGTCTGTAAGGTGGAGAGTTTGAATAGAAAAATTTATGCTGTCATTTTCTGTTTCTGTTATTTTTTTTCATTATCAGAACATGGTGCAAGTCAAACAAATCGTTGTTTTAGCCTTTAATTCAGTTCTCTCCAGAGTGCTGTTCAAATAAAATATAAACTTATATATTTGTCTGTTTTTTTCTTTGGGGGAGTGTTGGACAGATTGATTATGCTGTCAAATATAGGCAGAGTTTAGGCATCTGAAGATCTTAGGAGCCTGTGGAGGTGAAGACTTCATTTATAGAATGCCAAATTTACTGTGCAATGAGAAACCCTTCCCACCCTATCCCTTACCTTCTGATTGGAAATACAAAGGATTGTACCCCTGGGCTTATTTCCTAGTTCTCAGAAACCTAATTTGACAATAATTTTCCTGGAGCTATTGCCTAAACCCAGGTATGCCTTAGGAAATAGTTGAATCTTTCCTGTCCTAAGGTAAAGGCATTTAAAAGAACAGGGAGGAGATGGTGAAATGGCTTTATGAGGCAGAATAAGGAGAGGTACAAATGTTAGTTATGTTGGGAAAAGAGAAATCACTTTTTCTTACCTTAGGGGATCTTACTGATAGGCTTTGAACAGTGTTGCTCAGTGGGGGCAGTTTTGCCCCCCAGGCACTGGCAATGTCTGGGCACTTTGGGTTGTCAGCACTTGCAGGAGGGGGTGCTTTTGGCAAATCCTGGTCCGAGGCCAGGAGTGTTACTAACCTGCAACTCACTGGATAGTCCCCCACAACAAAGAATATCTGACCCCAAATGTCAACAGTGCTGAAGTTGAGAAACCGTGCCTTGAATAAGACATGATTATAATTAAAAACAACTCTTGTCATTCTTGTTATTCAGATATTTCTAGTGGAAGTCTATCTTGAAAACAGAGAATATTAAGAGACTTTCTTTGTAAAATAGGAAACACTTGTTTTAAATAACTCAAACAGGTTTCCTTTTAGCAGAATTTCTTTTCAGTCTTCAAAAAAAATCCTAAAATATATTTGGGAATGTCTAAAAAGACAGGTTATATATAGTATACATGTGAACGAAGTAAATTAAACATTTTTGATGAAAACAATTTAAAACTGCTCAGCTATAGTACTTTTTCACTGAACTTATTTGATTATTGCTTCTTTAAATACAGTTTTGATGTTTTCAAATTAAAAGCAATTCAGTTGAAATTGAAGCTTAGTAAGTTCTTCATGCAGTGAGGAACAGAATTTCTTTAAAGCATTCAAAAAAAATAAATCCTAAAATATATTGGGAACATCCAAAAAGACAGGTTATATAGTATGCATGTGAACTAAGTAAACATTTTAAATGAAAACAATTTAAAGCTGCTCAGTTTTTTTTCACTGAACTTATTTGGTAATTGCTTTTTTGAATACAGAGTTTTGATTTTAAAATAAAAGCAATTCAATTAAAATTGCAACCAGAAAGTTCTTCATGTAATGGGGGATTGAACAAAATCAGAGAAAAATGTGAGATGAGTATTTATTCGAAGCCTCATGAAATTTTCCAAAATGAAGCCTTAGTATTATAGACATCTATGGGATGGAAAGAATCCCATATAATTTTCATGTATTTAGTTTCAGTTTTAAATCGACTGAATGGCATGTATTAAGAAACAAACCTTTCTAGCCTGTAACACAATACCCTGCCTAGAGAGGAGGAACAATAGCCTACGGTCATAAATGTAATAAGATCAGGGAACTGTTCTAATATTGCTTGTATGCAGGAACATGGACGCTTACTAGGTAAAAGCTTTATCATGATCACAGCGAGTCCTAGGAAAACCAAGAGAGATTTGGTCAGTGTTCTACCCCTTCTTCCTGCCCACCCCCACAACTCCTTGTGTCTATCTGTAGGTTGGTTAGTTGATTGATTGGTTTCAGAATTCATTCTGCAGAGATCATCATTAGGGCTGCTTACTTCCCTTCCTGTTCTAATAACCATTCCCTCCATCCTTGGCCATTACCTTCCCTCAGTCCCTCAGGAATTCATGTAGCAGAAGAGGCTTCATATTCCTGCTGAGTCTCTGGGGCACCCAGGAACCCCTCCTTTTCTCCAGTGTGTACAAACACAAACAGCTCTTCCCTGCTTTCAAGTGGAATAGGGGTTTTTGTCTCTTGGAAAAATGCAGTGGTTGAGCCCTTGTTTTCCACAAAGGCAGCCTCACTTTCTCTGCTTGCTTCTTCAAATTGCTGTGTTCAGTTGTTTGTTCAATTGCATTTTCTTGCTGTTGGGAAGGCTTCCTCCTCTTTCCCTAAGGAATAGTGAAAGAAGAGGGAAAACAGACCTTCTTTGTGAGCAACACTGGTGTTTATAGAGTGAGTCCACCTATCACTGGGCTGTGTGAAAGCTCATGAATAGGATTTGAACGAATGAGAATCCTATTTCATAAATTCTACAAGCATCTGTAAATTCGGCAGTAGCAGGTTCCATATCAGGCACTGGGACCCTTGCATTTGCAAGGCTAAGCTGCCTTGTATATTGTCACTGGTTTGTAAAACCAAGTTCATTCAGAGAATATACATGTATTCTATATATGTCTCTGAGAATATACATGTATTCTATATATGTTTCTGAAAGTCTATCTATAAAAAAAACACAAGGTGGATATTC